GACACAAATCCTTGGCCACCAGGGATGCCGAAAGGGAGGGAAACCTGCACGTGAAGCCGCACCTGGCCGACATCATAAGTTAGGATGGGGTGAACAAGAACGCATTGAGGTGCTTCAACTCGCCCTCCAGGAAAACCTGAACGACAGTAGGCAACTCTCGCCATTCAAGTGAGCAGTCCGACAGGACGAATGCCACACCCCCAATGAAAGAAAATGCAGTCTGCCAGCCAGGAAGACTTCGGTACCTTGTAACGCACCCAATAAGGAAAAGAGGAGCCAAACTCAAAAGAAAGTTTCATTATTGAGGCGTAATCCGAGTCTCGCAGGAGGTAAGCCGCAAGGGCCTCCCACACCTTCCTCGGTGGAATGTGGGAAGCCAAAAACCTCCAGGAGGAGGGAACCAAAGAACCCAAGGGAACTTGGAACCAAACCTGGGGAGGAGTCGAACTCATAACAAAATCGTACAGGGGGGGATAGGAAAACCCCCTCCCCCTGTAACAACAAGCCCCACACCGAGGGTACCAAACACCCAAGCAGTGACAAGTGGCCCAGGCCCCCTCAAGTCAACCCCCCAGCCCCGGAATCCTCCACGTCAGGACCTGGGGTCGAGCCGTCCTCCAAACCTATTGCCTTTGGGAGAAAAAGCAGAGTCCACCGGAAAAGTGGGGATGAAGTGGCCCGCTGGCGTGGCCCAAAAGCTCTGGCAGGAGGACCAGGCTCGAATGCCTCCGCCGCTGATCTGCAAGGGGCAATCCCCGAAGCCACCCGAGTTTCTACCAGTATAATTCAGCGGGGCAGCTGTGGGGCATCCGGAAAGGCAACCAACCTCAAACGTTGCTGCTACCTAAACCTTGCATGAAACGCTAAAGCTGCCTGCACCTGAATATCAATCTCAGTGGACTGGGTGAATGGAGTACAAGCAAAGAAGACCACTCGCAGGACTCCGGGTCATAGGTGTCATTGACCCCAACAGGCAGCAAGGCGGAGGCAGATGGTGAGTGTCGCCCTGAGACAAGGGGACAGAGCAACCTTCAAACTCACACACGGCGAGGTGAGACTCAGAGGTCTCCTTCATTGGACCATTGAGCCCCAAAGGGGATTTCCAGGGCCCTTAGGCTGACTGCTAAGGGAAGCCCAGGCTAGGTACTGCTAACCAGTTATCCCAGAGCTACCAAGCAAACAATCTAAAAGCTGAACCCCTGCGACGTGTGCAAGCACAGTGACTTAGTGGAGGGCCACCAAAATCCTACAAGTGGTCCAACTGCCACACCAGGCAGACCCCAACCAGGCAAATCAAAACAAAACAAAAAAAGAAAACCCCGCAAAAGCACAACGTCTCCAGGTGAACAGAACTGGTCGCTATGTGTATATCAAACAGCTGCACAGTACCTCGCGCCCCAGCCAGTGACGAAACTACCTCCTACCCAAGGGCAAACACGAGTAAGAACCTCCCCAGCTGAACCTTCAGGGGCGGGTAATCACCGAGCAGCGACAGAACCACACCGAGATAGCTGCTCCTGAACGGCTCATGGAAGATAACCCTGAGGCAGCAAAGGCAGTACTTACGGGGCACCTAGGGAAGGTAGCCCTAGGTAACATGCAGCCCGAGTACTCTTGTGTTACTTCTGGCTCACACCCCACTGAAACAGAGCAACAACACCGTACTGGAGCATTGCGCAAAGAGTGGAGCCAGAATGATCGACCGTCACCAACACAACAGCCTCTTGAACTGAGGAGAGTTGCCGACATGGGGGTCTGGGACACCCCCCCCCCTCTGTCCCTCTCCCGGGGAGGGGGGTTGCACAGACGGATGCGCGGCAGTTGTGGTGACATTATGTTTGTTCCTTGTTTTTTTTTTATTGGGGAGTTCTGTGTGCTAGTTCAGCTTTCGGTTTGCAATTTTCGACCAGCAGTAGTTTGCTTTGAAATTTCTACCTTTCACGATGCCTGACCTGGTAGATGGCAGACAAAGACTGCTTCCAATGACACGGGGGTGTCTTTAGGCCATTGCTCCTCATGCCTCTCTTAAGGGGGCCATGTTCTGGCTCTGATCCCCGGTAGGCTTAGAACTCCTTCGCTTGACTGTTGCCACAGTCTAATATATACACATCAGGTCGGTATAGTTCCGGGGAGCCGAAGGGGCTCTCCACAGAAAAGGGGGCCAACGCCCAGCCTCCATATGCAAATGCAGGTAACAATGCAGCTGGGAAGACGTGGGATGACTAGTAGCATATCCCTGGCATCCAGTCACGGCAACACACATAGTAGAGCAAAATGGCCGCCAAAACATAAACATCCAAGCAAAATATGGATGTACCCAACCCAAGGGTGCGTAAATCACACTGGCAAGTATAGCAAAACTAATGCAGAAGGGAAGGAGGGGACGAAAACCCTGTCCCCTGCAACAATAACCCCCTGATCAGAGGGCACAAGGAGCCCAAGTGTTCCAACCGTACTCCCCCCGAGCCCCAGGACAGAGTCCTCTTCCATGCCCACCACCTCTGAAGAAAAGGCAGAATCCAAGGAAAAGACTTCAGAGAAGGTTAAGTGACTACGATGAACTGGAAGCCTTGGCGAAAAGAATGGGCTCAACCACCTCCATGCCCGAATTGGAAGGGGCAGCCCCCCCAAAGCCACCCCAAGCCTTATTCCAACCGAAACCTTGCCCAAACTCCAAAGCCCTCAGATGATTTGGAGCTGGAAGTAAGGAGGGAGTAGCAGAATGAACACGCCCACCTGGGAAGGAAGCGGGGGCACGGACAGAACCAAAGTTGAAGCGACCAACGCCCCCAAATCCCGGGTCCTAAAATCTCAACGGGGCAGCTCTGGAGCCCTCCAACTGGGCAATCAACCTGGTGCATTGCAAGGAGAGAAGCAAGTTTGCAATGCCGCCGCTACCTGAATCCTCTCATCCGCAGACGAGGAATAGATAACTGAAGCACAAGCGGGGAACACGTCCCGCAAGACTCCGGGTCATAGGTGTCACTGACCCATCAGGCAGCAAAGCGGAGGCAGAAGGTGTGATCGCCTCCCTGAGGCAGGGGCGACGAACAACTGTCAACATCGCACAAGGCGAGAGTGGACTCAGACGGATCCATGTTACCAACCCGAGCTCACAGGGGTTTTCCAGGGCCCACAGGGTACGTTAACTACATGGGAAGCTCAGGCACTGTGGTCAGCTAAGGTGGTAGACCTCCTTGCTTGACAACAGGCAGACCAACTACCAGTAGCAACAGTGAAACCTTTGAGGCAAGAAAGGAGGAAAGCCACCACAACCTAGGCTGGCCTAATAAGCAGCTAAGCAGACCTCCTTCATACACAGAGGAAAAATTCCAAGAAATTAAAAAAGAATAAGCCCCTGAAACAATATCGCAAGCAAACTAGCAGCTGAAAAGAAATTTCACCCATCACACAGGTATTAGTAGACTGTACCAGAAAGCCCCAGACACCTGACTTACCCCAAGGGCAAAGACAGCATCAAGCGACGAAGCCCCTCAGTGGAGCGTGTGTCCCGAAAGTCCAGGGACGTCAACCCTGACACACAAGGGCAGTACTTACAGAGGACCCAGGGAAGGGTACGGGGCACCTGACAGCTGGGTCGACAGCACTTCAGATTCGTAGTCCTGAGGTTCCAGGTTCGATTCCCGGTGGAGGCGGAGACATATGGGCAAAATGTTTCTTTCACCCTGATGCCCCTGTTACCTAGCAGTAAATAGGTACCTGGGAGTTAGACAGCTGCTATAGCCTGTTTCCTGGGGGAGGGTGTAACAAAAATGAGGCCTGGTCGAGGACCGGGCCACGGGGACGCTAAGCCCCGAAATCATCTCAAGATAACCTCAAGGGTACCCAGAGCGCATGCAGCTCCAAGTAAGAGGAACCTCTGGTCACCACATCACACACACACACAGCTGGTACAGCCATACAGGGCAAAATCCAGAACGGGAAAGTGAGGCCAGAGGTGACTTCCAACCCCAAGCACATCAGACAAGAACTGAGGTGGCAAGTAGCTGGCTTGCCTGGGTGGGCTCCCCCCCCCCTCAAAATTGTAGGGGGAGGACATGCTAATGAGCGGGAGTACTAGTTGAAAACAAGCTTACCAGTTTCAGTTCTTTTTTTTATTCTTTTCTTTTTTAGGAGTTTTTTTGCATTTTTGGGCTATAGGTCGCATTTTACTAGCTAGTTGTTTGTATTGGCTCGCCTATCTTTCTGGGTGCTCACCCTGGTCAATGGCAGAATACGACATACTTTAAATGTAGAGTGGTTGTATGCCAATGCTCCCTTGCACCTCTATGAGGGAACCAGGTTCTGGTGCTGGTTTCCAGGTAGGCTAAAAAACTCCAAATGATCTAAGACCACAAACTTATATAGCACACATCAGTTCAGTTAGCTTCAGGGAGCCGATGGGCTCTCCCCAGAAATATACTATCTGTAACCATAAATTGAAGCTGAGGTTGGGGTACAACATATAAACATTCCACAGCAGATAACCTGATTCCTCAACACATTCTTAGATCAAGCATCGAAGGAGAACCCCAAATGTTGTGAAAATTCATCATGTAAACACTGCAAGAACATCATACACAGTAGTTGATGTACTGAATAACCTTGAAGATCCACAACACGGCTGGGGCCTTAGGCCGAAGCTTCAGTACAGTAACATCATAATAATAATAATAACAATAATAATAATAATAATAATAATAATAATAATAATAATAATAATATTAATAATAATGGATTAGGAAGAAAGATAAAAAGAACAGACATCAAAACCAATAAAATTTAATCACTAGTTCTGAGGAAATCAACACCACTGGCTTGAAAATTAATTTATTAAAAATACTAATTCAATTACATGACAGAAAAGTAAGTGCTATCCAGTCAACTCATGAGCATTATCTACAACCCACTGTGGAACAATCATTCTAACAGTATCCAACACACTCGCTCACATTTTCTAAGCCGGACATCAGCGTACAATTAAAAATATATCTTCTTACCAGCTCTACAGTATCAGCATGATCCAGTTGACCAGCATAATGGAGTGGAGTAGCACCATATACATCCACAGCCCCCAAGTGAGCCCCTCGTTCCAGTAAACGACCAACTATTGAAGTTAGTCCCCTGTATAATTAGAAACAGTTCAGAAAAACTAAGACACTGTATATTCATAAATACTATTTAAAAGGTATGTATAATAATATAATTATTCTGTAAATAGAACTAAACACACAGATACACTATGGTTACACTTTATATATACTGTATGTATTTTTAACAAATAGATCACCGAGTGTAATGAAATGACCTTTTCTGGACGAAACCTCAGCACTTCCACAGATCTTACTGCACAGGCATTCTTGGGCCACATTTGAATCACTAGGATTTTGTGGAATCCGAATCCAAGGAGAACCCAGACTTCTCCTTGGACTTCTCCCCATCTTGCCCCTTCTATGGGACGAGGGTGCCCATGGAAATCAAAGCTCAACTTACTACTGAGGTGAACTGCCTAAACAGTTTGTCACAAAACTCCACTACTTGATACCTGCTTGATACCTGCTTGATGGGGTTCTGGGAGATCTTCTACTTCCCATGCCCGACCCGAGGCCAGGCTTGACTTGTGAAAGTTTGGTCCACCAGGCTGTTGCTTGGAGCAGCCCCACATAACCATCACAGACTGGTTGGTCCGGCACTCCTTAACCCTTGTGTGGCGCCGGGCTATTTAGCATTTGTCACCCACAGGCGCATACAAAAAAAAAAATTATTTTTTCTTCTAAACCCGTTAATTTGTGTTCTCTGATCACGGGAAAAATAATAAAAAAATCGTGAGTGGCATATACTGCCCGCTATAGGGTGGGGAAGTCTGGCAATAAACAGACTCTGACTCAGCCTGTGTCCCAGACGGTCTGTTGCTCGCCAGCTGTCAGGCCGGAGTTGCCACAAAGAGATAATTATCTAATTATTTCAATGTCTCTGATTGATTTTAAGTAGTTTTTTGCTGTAATATTATTCAATAGTGTGTAGTGTGATATATTTATGTAATAAAATGAGTGAATCATCGCTGTACTCAAAAATATGGTGTGCATATTGTTGATTCAATTACTGTATTATGTTCATCAAGCAGTGAACAAATACTTTGTCGGTTATTACACTATATGCATAGGTTATATATAAGTATCTGCATGTTTTGTTCACCATAATGAACCACTAAGTTGCTATTGCTCGACTTACGATTGCCCCTACTTACGATAATTTCGAGTTACGATGTAAATTTCATTGAAAAATGCGACTCAACATCCGATGGTATCGTCGACTTACGATATTTGTTGGTACACATTCGGGTCGACCGAGGGCTTGGTTCCCAGTCACGCGGCCGACCTGCCTCAGTTTACTACAGCTGTCCGCTTAGTGACGATCGCGCCTATAAGAAATTTCGCTTTTGTGGTGATTTTTTTTGCACTTTGAACATTAAAGTAATTATTATATATCACGCCATGAGTCCCAGGAAAGTCAGTGGTAGGGCTCAACATATGAGATCCCATGTAAGGATGACCATAGAGCAGAAACAAGAGATCATTCATAAATATGAAGATGGTTTGTTGTACTGGCTAGGCAGTACAACAAATCTCAGTCAATGATATCCACCATACTGGCTAAGAAAAAGGACATTATGGGTGCTAAAGTGATGCATCATTACAGACAAATGTTAAAACAAAGGGAAAAACAAATCTCTCTTGACAAATTTGTAGTGAGACAAACAAGCAGTGAACCACAACCAGGTCCTAGTGGTATTCAGGCAAAACGTAGGAGAGAGAGAGAGTACCCCAGAGAAAACATCACTGCCTGATGTGATAATGGAAGGGGACTCCCCTTCCAAACAGTAAAAACTCTCCTCCTCCCCCCTCATCACCATCTTCCATAGGCCATCAAGAGCCCTCCATAAAGGTAAGTTAAACTTTGGTACTGTATTGTAATTAGAAAAAACATTGTATTCAGTATAAATGTATTTGTATGTTAATATTTTGAAGAGTGGGGAACGGATTAATTTAAATCCCTTTATTTCTTATGGGAAAAATCGCTTCGACTTACGATATTTCGACTTACGATCCGTCTCTGGGAACAGATTAGCATCGTAAGTTGAGGCCCCATTGTATAAGTATACATTCATCTAAGCTGGTATAGTGCCCAAAGAGCATAGTGGCCACCCTTACCCAGCATGATAAATCATGCAGATGTCACCACCTCCCTCACCAAAATGGCTTCTTCCCACACTCCTTTTGCTGTTATTACACTGTATATACACATTATATATAAGTATCTACATTTGTGTTCACTGTAACGAACCACTAGGTTGGTATGCTGAGTGGCAGTGACAGCCAGTGGCAGCCCATCACTGGCTGTCACTCCCTCCCTCCCTCACCTCACCTGACTCATCACCATTCTCCTCCCACCATACTGTTTTTGCTGTTATTCACTATATATAGATGTTATATACAAGTATCTGCATGTTCTGTTCACCATAGCGAACAACTAAGCTGGTATAGTGAGTCCAGACAGTAATAGGTGAGTCTCTGTGGTGTAGTGGTAAGACACTCGCCTGGCGTTCCGCGAGCGCTATGTCATGGGTTCGTATCCTGGCCGGGGAGGATTTACTGGGCGCAATTCCTTAACTGTAGCCTCTGTTTAACGCAACAGTAAAATGTGTACTTGGATGAAAAAACGATTCTTCGCGGCAGGGGATCGTATTCCAGGGACCATAGGATTAAGGACTTGCCCGAAACGCTACGCGTACTAGTGGCTGTACAAGAATGTAACAACTCTTGTATATATCTCAAAAAAAAAAAAAATAGGTGGTCACACAGTCAGCAGAGAATGCTACCTCCCTTCCCACCAAGATTACTCCTCACACTAATGTACTAATTATCACAACAATCCTGCTATTATCAGAATCCTGGTCATTTTTATCACAGTCAGGGGTCTTCTGTAATACTATCATCGCTAAATAATAGCATGTACATATATATTATGTCATTTTTAGGCGATGCTGTGGTCACAAACTGAACAGCGGTGCTGTGAGCTCATGCTGCATGCACCAACCTTGCTGGCTCACTCAGTACTGAGGACCTCATACCCGGGAATGTGGCCCACGATTTAATAAAAAATGGTGTCTGTTTACAAGAGCCCTGATGAAGGTCAGGTGAACCCCGTGTATCCACGGGCTGTTTAAATCTCGCGTAGTACTCCAACACGTCATATGACGTGATGCGCAATTTATAGCAAGTTACTCAACACATCATATGACGTGTTGCGCAATTTAAGGGTTACTCTATGGCAATTATTAGTTCTATATTTTCCGTGATAACAAATTAACAAAGATTCTAACCTGTTACAAGCCCAATGAAGAGCTGTTCGAAACTGATTATCAGTTAAATCAACTTTGCATTTCTGAACAGATAAAATCACATCAACAGTATCTATTCTTGCCTCAGCCACTGCCAAATGCAGTGCTGTTACACCATCAAAATCTTGCCAATTGACGCTGGAGGGTGCTGCACAGATCAGAGTTCTTACACAGTGTTTGGCACCATCTGCCTTACTAATAGCTGCCCAATGCAATGGTGTTTTGCCCTCTTGATCTGGCATAAGATTGTTTGCTCCATGCTTTATCAGAAGACGTACATTTTCTTCAGATCCATATGCTGATGCCCATAAAAGGGGGGTCCTCTGAGAAAAAAATATGCAAATAAGATTATTACAAATACTAAATCATCATTATAAGACCATTTAATATAAAAAGCTCATTTTTATAATCATATTCATACTTTATTATATATTATTTTCTGTGGAGAGCCCCTCCAGCTCCCAGGAGCTATACCGGGTTGATATGTATGTATTCGACATCAGTCAATTCGATTGGAGTTCTAGCCTACTGGGGACCACGAGCCAGAACCTAGCCCCTTCAGAGAGGCACAATGAGCAATGGCCTGTAGAAACCCCCATGTGGTTGGAAGCATTCTATGTCTGCCACCTACCGGGTTAGGCACCCAGAAAGGTAAGCGTTTCAAAACAAACTCAACCTGGTTAAAATTGCTACCGAAAACTGAACTATCAAGCAGGGTGAATTGAGTCACGAACAAGCAACACAGCTCGCAGGATTCAGGGTAGAATGTGTCACCAACCCAACAGGCAGCATGACAGACAAAAACAACGAGTGACACCCCTGAGACAACGGGACAGCCACCCTCAAACTCGCACAAAGCCAGAGAGGATGCAAGGGTCTCCTCCATCAGACCCGAGAGCCCCCGCAGGGGTTTTCAAGGGCCCCTGGACTGGGTCTGCTAAGGGTTATCCCAGGCAAGGTACTGCTAACCGGCACCCTAAACTACCAAGCAAACTGCTAAAAGCTGAACCCATGGGACGTGTCCACTCACGAGGGCTAAGCAGGGGGTGCCACCACACAAAAACAACCCTAATATTAGGGGGGAGGGAAAATACAAGGCAGACCCCCCCACCAGGTAAAAACAAAAAGAAAAGAAAAATCACACAAGTGGACAACGTACCCAGAGGGAACAGAGCCGGCCGCTGTTATAGGTGAAAACTAGCTACGCAGTACCCCGTGCCCCACCAGTGCTATAACTACCACTTACCCCAAGGTAAACAAGGGAGGAAAACCCCCCAAACACTCAAGGCAGCCAAACGCCAAGCAGCGAAAGGCCAGCGAAGGTGGACCCAAGGCGACTTGTGGAAGGTAACCCCAAGCCCCAAGGGCAGTACTTACAGGGCACTCAGGGAAGGTGACCCTAAGCACATGCAGCCTGAGTACCTGGGAATAATACTCCCAGCTCACACGACCACCGTAAGAGCAGCACTGAAAAACAATGAACAGCAATGAGAAAAGTCACTGGAGCTGGAGCCACATGACTATGCACGATCCCATCAGCCGAGGAAATCGGGCAGGGATTGCCGGTGCGAGGGTCTGGCTCCTTCCCTTCCCTTCCCCCCTCCCGGGGAGGAGGGAGCTGCGCAGACATGCGGCATGGCTCGTGTGACGTCATGCTTGTTTGCACGTTTTTTTGGAGGGGAGTTCTGTCCACTCGTTTAATGATTTTCGTTATTAACCAGAATAGGGGTTTGTTTTGTGGCGCTTATCTTTCCAAGTGCCTGTCCCGGTCGATAGCAGATAGAATGCTCCAAATCACATGTGCATTTCTATGGGCCATTGCTCCCCGTGCCTCTGTGAGGGGGCTAGGTTCTGGCTCGTGGTCCCTGGTAGGCCTAGAACTCCACCCACATCGACTGATGCAAAATAGTTAGGGTATCCATATCAGCCATGGAAAGCTCCAGGAAGCAGTAGGGGCCCGCTCCAGGAAGCCGTAGGGGCTCCCCCTAGAAAACCGCCGACCAGTAGGAGGAAGGGTTGCCAGGGAGCCTGCGGGGTTCACCCAGAAAATGGCGTTACACTACATTCAGTGCTGGTTTTCTGTGAGGAGCCCCTACAGCTCCCTGGAGCTACATACCCAAAGAGAAGGAAAATAGGGACTTACCTGGGAGGCGGCAGCCATAAACTCCTCAACGCGAAGTTGACAACTGGCTGCAACCTGCCACCCAAAGCAACACAAGAACGCATAGGAGCAGGCATGTTCACCAAATAAAGTGCAGCCTGGACCCTGTTCGACTTCCAAAATCCACACGCCGAATATGAGCCCAAGACATGTTACCAAAGCTGCAAACTTCCGAACGTCATGGGCACGAGGATAGACCGCAGACTGGCTAGACTTAATAACCCTGCGGACAACCTGGGAGACCAGAGCCCTCGAACAGGAAACGAGGGAAACCGGATCAACCCAAAGTGCATCCCCCAGCCACTCCAGCTGAGGCGCGCAGGTAACGGCGAAGAACCGCAACCGGACACAACACATGATGCACACCCTGTCGAACCAGACCCAGCTAAGACTGAACCTGAGAGGGTACCAAATGGGCCTTCCTTCAGTTCACCAAGAACCCGAACCCGGCGAGCTGGGAAAGCACCAAATCCCTGGGGAGCAGACACGCGGACTGGCTGGGAGCCCAAACCAGCCAGTTGTCAAGGTAGGCCAACACCCGAACACCTAGCAAATGCAGGCGGGTCACCACGACCCGAGTATGGCGTGTGAAAACGCAAGGTGCCAGATTCAACCTGAAGGGAAGACAACAAAAGCGGTAACCTTGACTCCCCACAACAAAACTGAGCCAGTCACTGAACCCCAGATGAACCGGGACGTGCCAATACGCGTCCGTGAGGTCCAGGGACATCATCCAAGCACCCCGCTCCAAGAGAAGACGGACCTGGGACAGCGTAGTCATCCTGAAGGAGGGACACAAAACCCACGGGTTCAGACGGGACAAGTCCAGAATGAACCGGCGGTCCACGCACTCCCATTTCAGGACTGGAACCAGGTGGAAAACCCACCTGAGGGACGCCGTCGTTTTGACCACGCCCAAGCGAACCCACTCCAAGATGACCTGACAGAGAGCAGGAGAAGAGGCCTGCCCTGCCAACCCCGAACCCAGCGAGGGAGGAGGAGCCACCCAACGCCACCACAGGCCGCACGAAACAACCCGAAAAGCCCCCGAATCGTGGGACCAGGCATGAGCAAACTGGGCGAGCCCCCCCCTTCCCCCCCATCATCCTGTCAATGGGACGAACCGCGAAAGGGCTGATGCGCCTTGCGAGAACCCAAGCGGCGAACAGGGTGGACCCCACGCTGACCAGTAACAGCCTGAACCGAAGCCGTCACCAGCCCCAAATCCGGCACCAGAGGCCTACCCCGACAAAAAGACCCCCCACCCCCAGCCCTGGCACGACCCTTCCGGGAAGGCCCCCCGCAAGCCCTTCGGAGCAACAACAACTCAGACATAGGTCGACAACTAACCGAGGCCGTCTGCAGGTACTGCACCACAGTTGCAGTACCTGCAACTGCAGACTTTTGGCTGCAATTTTCACCAGAATAGGGGTTTGTTTTGGGACACCTACCTGTCTGGGTGCCTAACCCGGTCGATGGCAGACGTAGAATGCTTCCAATTACACGGGAATTTCTATAGACCAATGCTCCCCTTGCCTCTCTAGAAGGGGCCAGGTTCTGGCTCGTGGTCCCCGGTAGGCAAGAACTCCATACATTTACTGATGCCAGAAAGTTATACATATCCATTCAGCCTGGATAGCTCATTGGAGCCAACGGGGCTTCCCCCAAAAACCCCTTGTTAACAGAAAGATAACAGGTTTTCCAGGTGGATCTCATGCAAGAAAGAGTTAAGTTCCTTGATTAGCTCTTTTGGCTTATAGCAAGTGGTCACTTGGTGGTGGAGTGAGACTTCTTTAATTTCCTTATTCCTCGAATTACATAATACGATTACAATGTACTTACAGATATACTTCTTATTACAGGTTAAAAATCATACATCCAGCATATCTGTCGGTGATCTATGTGAAATGTCAGCTCTGGCTTAGGAATCAAAAGGGGAAAGGGGTGGAGCTCTACTAAGAAAATATTGCTTTAGAGCAATATGCATAAGAAGGATTAAAAGAGTAAACATTAATCCATTTATTATCTAATACCATATAATACTATACTGTATACCTTTTTGTGATCTTCTGTATCTAATGTTCCAGGAGCTGCATACTTGAGTAAGGCTTGCAGACACTTGTGGTTACTATGAATGGCTGCATGATGAAGTGGTGTGACCCCTCTCACATCTTGAGCTAGCCACACACCACCAAGATTCTCTGAGTGAGCTATTCCTCCACTCTCAACTGCATGAAGAATGGCCTTGATGCATCCTAGATGACCCTAGATGAATTATAATTAATTTTAGCAAATATTTAATACTTAAATAGCTTTTTTCTCAAATTTCTTCTTCTACTACCATTTTAGAAAAGTCTGTTTTCAGACTGCTCACTCAGTTGAGAGTATATTTTTTCTCTACACTTCCACACAAAATCAAACAATTCCTGTTGTTGGGGACAGAAAGCCTGTACTTAAGACTAACGAGCTCCCTCTAGGTCAAAGATTGATCTTTCACAGGTTGAAACCCACAACAGTTGCTGAACTCCCAGATGCCCATTTACTGCTTGCAGAACAGAGGCATCAGTTGAAAGGAAAAATACAAACCATTTCTGTCCTTTCCAGGGAGCTGAACCAGGGATTCTCGATTGTGAGTTGAGGACAAAGACCGCTGTGCTACAGGACCCCTAATACCTTAATCTTCAACTTGGTTTGCTCTTCAAATTTATTCATTAGTATTTTGTTTAATGTAAACTATACATACAAATTTAGCACCCATTTGCCAGGCAGAGTTCAGCAGAGTTAAACCATATTCAAACCACAGCTTAATCTTACCCATTTGCAGTTCAAGTACCATGTACATATACTATCCCTTTTGTTCACTTCTATTACTGTCACTTCCTTTCTCTTGGAATAATGCACCTATATATCATACACAAACTATTACTTTCAAAATTAATCCACTAGAAACAAATGAGTGTGTTGGGTAAGATATGTTTCACTAAGAGTAATGATAAGGATAATATGCATGTATACCAATAAAAAAACCAGCTTTGAATGTAATGAAACGCCATTTTCTGGGTAAGCCCCGGAGGCTCCCTGGAGCTTATCGGGCTAATGTATGTTATATTAGACCGGGACATTAGCTAAGGAGTTCAGACCTACCAGGGACCAGCACCAAAATCTGGCCCCTTCAGAGAGGTTTCAGGGAGCAATGGTCCTGGAAAACCCCCTTGTGGTTGGGGTTTTCCTTATCTGCCATCAACCAGGGTTAGGCACCCAGAAAGGTAGGCATAACAAAACAAACCCCACATGGTAAAAAACTAAAACAAAAAAACGAACAGAGAGGTAGAAACTCCCTACAATCCCAAGGAAACAAGCAAGCAAGCAAACATCACACTTTACTGCCGCGCCGATCATCCGCGCAGCCCTCCCTGCCCCGAGAGGTAGAGGGGGGAGCCCAGGACCTCACCGCGCCGGCTGCCTAGCATCAGTTCGGAAGCTAAGCTTCAACCAATGCGAAAAAAACGCCGACCGGTGGGAGGGAGGGTTGCCAGGGAGTCTCCGGGGCTCACCCAGAAAATGGTGTTTCATTACATTCAACGCTGGTTTTCTGTCGGGGAGCCCCTACGGCTCCCTGGAGCTTCAAACCCAAAGAGAAGGAAAAGAAAAGGCTGACCCGGGAGGCGGCCGCCACAAACTCCGCAACACAAAACCGAGACAACAGACTGCAGCCAGCGACCCAAGGCAACAAGAACACACAGGAGCAGACGCACGCATAAAGAATGGGCAGCTAGGAACCTGTGTGACCCTCAAATCCTTGCGCCCGAAATGAGCCCTAGACGTCACCAACACAACAGCGAAAGCTGCAAATGTCTGAACAGCAATGGCACAACGACAGACCGCAGGCTGGAAGACTTAAAAACTTTATGGACAACCTGGGAGACCCGAGCCTTGAAACAGGGAACAAGGGGAACCGGATCAACCCAAAGCGCATCCCCAAACACGGTACGCAAGTAACGGCAAAAAAGTGCAACCGGACAACACAGTACGCACCCCCGGCCGAACCCAAGGACCCCTCCGGAAAGCAGCTGTCTCGACCGTCGCCAGAAGGACGGAGAAAGGCTGTAAACGTACAAACCTACCACCAGTACCAAAGAGCAGAAACCTGAACCAAAGGGGCTACCACAAACTGAGGAGAAGATAAGAAAGCACCCTGATAAAGGACCAGGACGGCTCAGGCGACACATGAGCAGGCCGGAGGTGAAACAAAACAAAGCGTACGAAAAGGGGCAGATGTGACGTCCACCCCGAACACAAGCCGGAGCGGCTCCGCCAGCGCTGTACAAAACGAGGTGACAGTAAGAAACATCAAATAACTGCAGTCCTGAAAACCCAAGAAAAGGACAAGACACCCGATGCGAAAGAGAAGACAACCTACGAAGAGCAACAAAAAGGTGCATAGAAACACCAGAAACGTCATACTGTCGCCAAGACGAAGCTCGCCGGTGGGACACCATCAACAAAGCCACCTGATCACCACAGAGATGGTGATACCTGCGTCAAAAAACCAGACGCGAAGAGATGAGGGGAAGGCTGAACCAGTCACGTACAGGACTGGTCCGACCTGCCGAAAGAGGCGGAGCCGCAGGAAAACGCCCCGGGGTTCGGACACCTATCAAGCAGCATCTAAAAATAAAGCTGGGCCGGCCACCAAGGGACCATAAGGACTACTCTCTTGAGGATAGGCTCCAACCGAGCCAGAATCCGAAGAACAGCTGAATCGGGAGAAGAGGAACAGGTACCCCCACCTCGACCAGTCCTGCCGAAAGGCATCCACCGTGAATCCTCGCAGAATCCTTACCACCGTGAATCCTTACCCGCCTCGCAGGCGGGTAAGGGCGCCACATACAATGGGCAACGCCTAGACCACGCTGACTCGAAGACGTTCATGGCCAGGAGTCCATATGTCTCGCAGAGCCAACGAAACGAGTCAGCGACGACTGGCCAATCAGCGAACAGAGGAATGAACCAAGACAGGCTGTCTGCCAGGACATAGCACATCGAAGTTCAGAATCCCACACAACTGCTCGAGCAACTGCTGAGTAACCCGGGACCCCCTCGTGAACAGCCAAAGGTGGGACCACAGCCGCAGCAACACTTCTGGAGGGAAAGACAAGGAGCGGCCCAAGAGCCCTAAACAAGACCCAGCCAGGTCCGAACCCAGGACGGAAACAGATGGAACGGCCTCCAGATCACCAGGAAACCAAACCCGGCAATCTGGAGAGAACCACGCCCCTGGCGAGCAGACAAGCAGACTGACTGGGAGCCCACACCAGCCAGTCGTTGAGGTAGGCCAGACACTGAATCCCAAGCAGACTCAGACAGGGCACCAAGATTCGGTAAAGATGCGTAAATACACCAAGTGCCAAGTACAAACTAGGGAAGGCAACAAAAGCGGCAAGCCTGAAGCCCCACCACCAACTGTGCCAGTCCCGGAAAACTGGAGAGGAACGTGCCAAGAATTGACCTGGAGGTCCAGGGCCACCATCCAGGCACCAGGCCCCAACAGAAGCCAGACAGGAGACAACAGTCCTTCGATGAGGGCATAGAATCCAGGGCGCAGACTGAAGAAGTCCAGAAGAACCGCAGATTCGCCAGGTCCGTGTCTGCATAGAGCAGACAGGAACCCCAGAAGGATGGGGCGGATCGACCACGTCCAACGCACCCACTAAGATGACATGACGAAGCACAGGGAAAGAAGCCATCCCCGCCAGCCCTGAACCCCCCAACGGGGAAGAAGTTGTCCACCGCCGCCACCAAAGGCTGGAAGACAACCAAAAACGCCTACTAACTGAGGGACCATGCGAGAGTCAACAGAGCAAGCTGCTCATACAGCGCCCCGTCAACAGCGAAAGGAACAGAGCCCCTTCCGAAGAAAAGTATACGTACACATATACACATACATATATAAATACACGCACACACAAGGTGTATGACACACACGTGTGTATGCACATACACATGTGCACACACACAGTGTATACATGCGCGTATACACATATACACGTAGACCCCACATAGACCCCACACAACCTATATATTAGGTGAGAAATCTTTAAAGAATTCTGATAAAGAGATCTAGGGGTGGTTCTAGATAGAAAACTATCACCTGAGGACCACATAAAGAATATTGTGCGAGGAGCCTATGCCACGCTTTCTAACTTCAGAATTGCTTTTAAATACATGGATGGCGATATACTAAAGAAATTGTTTACGACTTTTGTTAGGCCAAAGCTAGAATATGCAGCGGTTGTGTGGTGCCCATATCTTAAGCAGCACATCAACAAACTGGAAAAGGTGCAAAGACATGCTACTAAGTGGCTCCCAGAACTGAAGGGCAAGAGCTACGAGAAGAGGTTAGAGGCATTAAATATGCCAAAACTAGAAGACAGAAGAAAAAGAGGTGATATGATCACTACATACAAAATAGTAACAGGAATTGATAAAATCGATAGGGAAGATTTCCTGAGACCTGGAACTTTAAGAACAAGAGGTCATAGATATAAACTAGCTAAACACAGATGCCGAAGAAATATAAGAAAATTCACTTTCGCAAACAGAGTGGTAGACGGTTGGAACAAGTTAGGGGAGAAGGTGGTGGAGGCCAAGACCGTCAGTAGTTTCAAAGCGTTATATGACAAAGAGTGCTGGGAAGACGGGACACCATGAGCATAGCTCTCATCCTGTAACTACACTTAGGTAATAAAAAAAAACTTAGGTAATTACACGTGAAAAGAAAATTACAAGCCGCTGACCAGTGGGCAGAGAGAACCACGCCGGCCAGGCGAAGAAGGCACAAAACTGCATCAAAAGGCCCACCTCGACAACAAAACCCCGAAGTCCCTGCATGACCACAACACGTCCCAAGACCCAAAACGATCAGTCTGCAAGCTAGTAAGACCCCAGAACCTCAGAGGGAAGAACTGGGTCACACACGAGGAAACAAAAGCCCCCTGAACCCACAAAGGGGGCCCAAGAGGAAGAAACCTCCGGAACGAAACCAAAGAACCCAAAGGAACCCGAAATCGAACCAGGGGGAGCCCAAATCACCACATTTGCCGGCGGAGATACACCACAGAAAGGCAAAGCACAGCCCCCAGACAGAACCCACAGGGAAACAGTCAAAACAGACCGAAAACCAAGGGACAAGGTGTGGGAGCAAGCATAACAGACAGGGACACTGAGCCCAAACCCTAGGGCCCAGACCCAAAACAGACAAAACGGAAAACCCGGTGTAAAATCAACACTCAAACGTTCCCAGAGGAACAGAAAACGGGCAGAAAACACCAGAAGAGCAAAGAAACGACAACAGGAGAATAAAACCCCTGAAAAAGGTGAAAAAACTCACCCAAGACGCTCGCTCGCACAGCCCGGCGCATGTAAACAAACCGTAACGCCGCCCTGGTGGCCACTCCGGGAAACCGGCAGAAGAAAATGGCCACCAAAACAGAGGGCTGTGACCGACGCAAAAGATACGAAAACACCCCAGCAAAAGTGGGAAGCAAGCAGACTGGATGGGCGAAAAACTACGCCCAAAAGCAGAAAACCCAGGCAGGGGCAAACCGCCCCAGAACTGCTAGCAGGCATCCCCCACAGCCTCGGAACCCACAACAGAGACCCCGGGGCAGAGCCATCCTCCAAGCCCTCCGCCCTTAAAGAAAAGTTAGAGTCCATGGGAAAGGCAGCAAGAAAGGGGCGCGGGTAAGACCCAAAAGCCTTGGCAGGAAGAACAGGCTTGAAAAACTTCCGTCCCCAACCCGAATGGGGCAGCCCCCGAAACCGCCCGAGTCTCGGCCCCAACTAAACCACGCCCCGACCCCGAAACCCGCAGACAGTCTGGAGCCGGGAACAGGGAGGGAAAGGGGCGAACAGCACCTAACCAAAACGAGGAGGCCCCAGTGGCATCCGAGTGGGAAACCAACCTAGCGTGCTGCAGCAACCAAACCTAACTTGCAACATGGATGCCGCCTGTACTCTGAACAGTAATAACATCAGGAGAGTACTGGAGAACAAGCAGAGAATATCTCTCCCAAGACTCCGGGTCAAGGTGTCAGTGACCCAACAGGCAACATGACGGAGGTAAAAGAGGCGACTGTCACCCTGAGACAAGAATACAGCAACAAACGAACCAGCACAAGATGGGTTGGAACCTGGAAGACACATTCAATGGTCCACCGAGTCCCGACTGGTTTCCAGGGCCCGTAGGGGTAATAACTACGGGAAGCCCAGGCAAGGTGTTGCTAACCGGTTAAGAAACCCAAAAATAACAAGGGGTAGAGGACAACACTGAAAACCCCTGCGACGTGTACAATCACGGGGGCCTAGCAGAGGGGCACCAAACACTACCAGTGGAACTATAGCCACACTAGGCAGACCCCCACCAGGCAACTAGGCAGACCCCCACCAGGCAAATGAAAATAAAAACAAAAGAAAAACCCCGCAAAAGTACACTGTCCCCAGAGACAACAGGAACTGGCCACCGCGTAGGTAGCAGGTCACGCAACACCTTGACGCCCTAACCAGCACAATACTAGACCCTACCCAAGGCCAAACAAGGGCTCCATGCCCCAGCTAGCCCCAAGGGCGAGGCAAATGCCGAGCAGCAAGAACTTCTACGGGAATGGTTCCCAAACACCCCAGGGAAGATAACCCTGTCATGCAGGGTCAGTACTCACGGGGCGCTTAAGGAAGGAAGCCCCTAAGCAAATGTAGCCCCGGTACTGATGAGGAACACCTGGCCACTGCAGAACACAAAACATGGTAGTGAGCGCCATGAAGGCAAACACCGCCTAAGAAACTGAGGCCAGAGAAGCGTCTGTCCCGGTTGACATTAGCTTAACTGGAGTGCTATGCAGCCGGTGCAGTGAGGTCCGGGGCCCCCCACATCCCCCTCTTGTGGAGGAGAGGGCTGTGCGGACGAGCAGCGCAGCAGTAGTGTGTTATGTTTGTTTGTTTCCTTGGGATTGTAGGGAGGTCTACCTATTTCTTCGGTTTTTGTTGTTAGTTTCTTACCATGTTTGTTTTGTTATGCTTACCTTTCTGGGTGCCTAAACCCAGTCAATGGCAGATAAGGAAAACCCCCAACCACAGGGGGGTTTTCCAGGGCCATTGCTCCCTGAAACCTCTCTGAAGGGGCCCAGGTTCTGGCTCATGGTCCCTGGTAGGTCTGAACTCCATAGCTAATGCCCCGGTCTAATATAACATACATTAGCCCGATATGCTCCAAGGAGCCGTAGGGGCTCCCTTGAGATAAAAAAATTTCTCTACACAATTAATTAACTTCGATTCTATTCCTGAATACATTGAATAATTATACTTTAGCTTTGGGTTCTTCTATTTATTAGTTACAGTTGAGTTTACACAAGTTTAATAAATGTATTATACCCAAGAACTTATAACAAAAGGAGTAGGTGTTCTCTCATGTAGGATTCTTGCACACTCTTTACTTAAGTCCTCTTGTTTATAAAGTATTGCATGGTGCTGTACCTCCAACTTTTCAAACATATGTGAACTGCTGTTTCCCAATAACTTCATTAAAATAGACATATACAGTATGCTGGTAAAAAAATTGCAGTTATGGTTCATAATTCAAGGCAATTCAGTTCTTACTTTATAAGCAGCAAAATGTAGTGGAGTACGATTATGAGAATCGGTAGCATCAGGTCTAGCTCCAGCTCGGAGAAGTGCTTCCACAGCTTCTTGGTGGTTACCCATTACCGCATACACGAGAGCAACCCGTCCCCACCGGTCACGAGCTTCGAGGTTTATACTTGCATCTGGAATTTGTTAAACACTGTGGTTAAATCTGAATCATAACCAAACAGAACAGGCATGCCAAGGCTGTCATACTTCAAGACAATGAGTAATGAAATGTATACAAGGGGTGTAATAATATTGGTGTTGAAATTAATACTGCACATGGTAATTACCTAAGTGTGCTCAACAAGCCAGGCAACTAAGGATTTACCTGGTGTTATTGCTGTGATGCAGCCCATGTTCCTAAAATGAACGTACAGTGGTACCTCCATTTACGAATTTAATCCGTTCCCAGAGATGGGTCGTAACTCAAAAATTCCTAACTCGAAACAAATTTTCCCATAAGAAAATAATGTAAATTTAATTAACCCATTCCACACTCCCAAAAATATTAACTTCAAAATACATTTTATACAGAATACACACACACATTTTGTACTATAGTATATACAAGTATAGCTTAACTTTATTGATGACTCTTGTTGGCGTACAGAAGACGGTGAGGATGAGAAGAGAAGAGGTGTTACTGTTTGGAAGGGGAGTCCCCTTCCATTATAACATCAGAAAGTGATGACTTCCCTGGGATATTCTCTCTCCTACGTTTTGCCTGCATACCATTAGGACCTGGTTTGGCTCACTGCTTGTTTTTTCAATAAGAACCTTTCCATAGACTTGTTTTCCCTATGTTTAACACTTGTCTGTAGGAAGACATCACATTGTCTCACTATGAATGAGAGAATTTTTTTCCAATTGTATGGAAAACAATTGGAAAATTGTTTCAAAATGTTTTTTGGAAACTATTGTTTTCCTCTATGGTCATCCTCACATGTGTTTTCTTAGGTTGAACCTTACCACAGACTTTCTTGGGGACCCATCTCATGATATACAGTATAATGATTACTTTTATGCTCGAAAAACAAAAAACACAAAAACAATTAAATTCTTTACAAAGAATTCAAGCGCGATCATCACGAAGAGGGTGGTCTGATAAACTGAAGTGGGGTCACCCGTGCAACCAGGAACCACGTGCTCCATCGACCCATACGCGAATCAACAAAGTAGCAAGTCGAAGCAAAGGTTGTAGGTCGAGTCAAATTTTCCAACGAAACTGGGGTCGTAACTCAAAAAATTCGTAAGTAGGGGCATTCTTAAGTCTAGGTTCCACTGTACTGCACTTATAGTAACTATTTGGTCAAAAGTACCAACATGCATTGATGAACAACCAGAAAGTTGACTTTTGTATTATTGAATTTGGACACACCAGAAACTTTTTAACTGCAACATAAATACAAGACCTAACTTCAGGGGCCTGGTAACTGAGGAGTATTTTTCCAAATAAGAAATACAGTGAAAATTTTTAAACAAATCTCCCGTTATTTGGCATCAGTGTCGTTAAATTTTCATTCCAATATGTTAAGAAATGGATTTTTTACGAATTTTTAAAGAATAAATGCATGCGAGATGGGTAGCAACCAGTACTGCTAATAATGATAACACCTATTTATTGGAAATCAGGGATAAAGAGATGCAAGCACCTGTTCGACACACAAAGAAGAATAGTAGAGTAGTAGTAAGGAGGTTCTACAAAGTGGATATGTAGCTGGTGCTACCTGGAGGGCCAGATTTCACACATAATAATGAGTTACTATGTTATTTTGCTGTATATGGAATTTTTCACCATAAAAAATTATGGATTTTTTTCAAAATCACCTTCTGTGGTTGATTATTCAATAAATCCCTGAACTATATGTTTAACAGATCTCTAACCCTGTCCATGGAGGACAGAAGAAAATGTATATATGCTGGTTAGCATTGTAAATGTGTGGCCACGTCTGTAGTAGAAAATAAAAATAAAAAATTATGCTGTATTTTATTATATTGTATACAGAGCACCACTTGGTTTCCGAACTTTAGTTATCCGAAACTTCCAGTTTCCCGATTGGGGTTGGGGAGTCATGCTACACGAACAAAGTTCGAGTAGGAAGCGGTCCGCCAAGCGTCGCGCCAGCCCATGGTGATGGGTGGGAGATGGTCCAGTTTGCCCACTGACCGTGTTGGGCGCCACTACTCTAGAGTGCCTTCTACCCTGTGATTTCACAGATTCACAGCCTATTACTGTATTCCTGTTATTTTGATTTGTCATGAGGCTGGAGAATTCATTCTGTGATTTTGTTTTACATATCTGCACAATCAAGAAACATCTGTGCACCATGTCGGCTCCAAATGCACGCATTGCGTCAGTGATTGCTGACTGGTGAGTGGATGGATGGGGGAGCTTAGGTGGGAGCAGTATGAGAGAGAGGGGGAAAATTAGAGAGAGAGGGAGAATTAGTGAGAAAGGGAGGGAGAGGTAGGTAGGAAGAAAGTAGTGAGGGGGGGATGGGAGAATTAGGGAGGGAGGGAAAGGCAGGCAAGCAGGCAGGCAGGTAGGCAGGCAGGCAGAGAGGCAGGCAGGCAGAGAGGCAGGCAGGCAGGCAGAGAGGCAGGCAGGCAGGCAGAGAGGTAGAGAGGCAGGCAGAGAGGTAGAGAGGCAGGCAGGCAGGCAGAGAGGCAGGCAGGCAGAGATTCCCTCACTACTTTCCTCCTAGCATCTCTCCCTACCTTCCCCTCCCTCCCTTTCTCACTAATTCTCCCCCTCTCCCACTATTTCTCCTCTCTCACTAATTATCCCCCCCCCCCTCTGTTAGTGGAGTGGTGAGGGTGGCAGTAAGGAAGGATTTGCTGACCAGGCGATGGGGGGTTGCCAAACTTCTCAGTCATATTGTATTACAAATTTAAATCTTAGTTGTAAAATATTTATGCCAAAATGTTAATTTTCATATAATAATATACATTAGGAAATCATATAACATGTTAATGATTAATATTTATTAATTAAACAAATATAGTTTTATTTATGAATTATGCACAGTTGGCATCTGTGAGCAGGCGCTGACAGACATGTCCGCCTCTACACAGCCTCGACCCCGTCGGTAGTTCCCGACCCCATTAGTAGCTCCCCCTCCTTCATAGCCTGCTGTTCTCATGTTATGAGGAAGGCAGTGAGGGAGGGATGGGGCATTGGCAGAGGCATTGAGGGGAAGGGCATTGAGAGGCAGTGAGGGGCAGTGAGGGGGAGAGGCAGTGAGGGGGGAGAGGCAGTGAGGGGGGAGAGGCAGTGAGGGGGGAGAGGCAGTGAGGGGGGAGAGGCAGTGAGGGGGGAGAGGCAGTGAGGGGGGAAGAGGCAGTGAGGGGGGGAGAGGCAGTGAGGCAGTGAGAGGGGGGGAGAGGCAGTGAGGGGGAGAGGCAGTGAGGGGGGAGAGGCAGTGAGGGGGGGGGGGAGGGGGGAGAGGCAGTGAGGGGGGGGGGAGAGGCAGTGAGGGGGGAGAGGCAGTAGGGGGGAGAGGCAGTGAGGGGGGAGAGGAGTGAGAGATAGAAGCAGTGAGGGAGGGGGGTGGGGGTGAGTGAATGCAATTACACAATGAACTTTATTTCATTTGTTGCATTTATGCTATGAATCTGTCGATTTTTTTCCTTAGAATTTTTTGTTAATTTAAAAAAAAATCTCTCCATTTTCCTCCATTTCTCGTTTACGAACTTACACAATAACCGACGGGTCTCGTCCCCATGGGGTTCGGAAACCAAGTGGTGCTCTGTATCATATAAATACATTGCCCAATGGCAATATTTCTTATGTCCCTCTGTACGAAAAGCTGACTACCATTTTTTCTTTTTTTTTTATGTCTCCTTTGTTACTATGTAGCTGTACAGTACTGGAACAAGTCTGGAGCCAGAGTCGCATGACTGCCAGGTCACACATCAGCCACAGAACTGAAGGTGTGGATAGCCAGGAAGGTGGTGAGAGCTTTGCAGACAGTGGTAATTACCTAAGTGTAGTTACAGGATGAGAGCTACGCTCGTGGTGTCCCGTCATCTCAGCACTCTTTGTCATATAACGCTTTGAAACTACTGACGGTCATGGCCTCCACCACCTTCTCACCTGTTAACCTCACCTCACCTCAGAAACCTGTTAACCACCTACTCACAGTTACTGAGTGCACCGAAACGTCCCAGGTTCGATCCCTCGATATTCCTTTTTAAGCCATGTCGTAGCTCAGTCGGTTAAGGCAGCGTCTGGGATCCTCTCGGACATAGGCTCGAACCATCATCACGGCCCTTGTGGATTTGTTCATTTGATGCATCACACTATTGTGATTTCTTTGTGTTATGAGGATGAAATTAGGTACTTATTAGTTTTGACAAAGAGTGCTGGGAAGACGGGACACCACGAGCGTAGCTCTCATCCTGTAACTACACTTAGGTAATTACACTTAGGTAATTACCTAACTTGTTCCAACCATCTACCACTGTTTGCCAAAGTGAATTTTCTTATATTTCTTTGGCATCTGTGTTTAGTTAGTTTAAATGTATGACTTCTTGTTCTTTAAGTTCCAGGTCTCAGGAAATCTTCCCTATCAATTTTATCAATTCCTGTTACTATTTTGTACATAGTGATCATATCACCTCTTTTCCTTCTGTTTTCGAGTTTTGGCATATTTAACCCTTAAACTGCGCAAAACGTCATACGATGTGTGACATTGAGCTCAGTTTTTTAAATTTTCTGAAACTCTTTCAAATATTTTGTGCATAATCTACTAGGCAAATCTCCAACTTTGTCTAAATGATACCAGTGTAGCTTGAAAAACCTGAAAATATAAAATAATTATAAAATTGAATATTGAAAACTTTCGATTTTTAAATCAGCTGCAAAAAATATAAAATATCACCAACTGTTCATTTGGCGTTATTATGCTCTCAGAATAGTATATGATCTTCATTTTCATATATTTAGAATATAGGTTTTCAGTATAGTAGTTTACTGTAAAAATAAAATTGGCCCAAATTTAGACAGCCTAAATATATAACTCCAAACGTAGGGAAACTCCAAACTCCTCAAGTAGGGAAAAGAACGAAGTGACGTCCCCATATATAAAATCCAGAACACCCCTAGCATCTAGAGGGATATGATTGAAGAGAGATG